CCACGGCGAAGAAAAACCGCACATGGGCACTGCCGACGCGCACGGGCAGCGCCGCCGTGGCCGCACGACGGCGCCGACGTGGCCTCGCGACAACGACGGCGAGGACCAGGACAGGGCGGGGAGGGGCCCTCGCGCCTCGGGGTGCTTCCCAGCAAGAGGCATCTGGCATTTCTGCTCGCCCTGTTCCTCCTGCTCCTCCACCTCCTCCTCCTCCTCCTCTCCTCCGTCCTCCTCCTCCTCCTCCTGCTCCTGCTTCTGCTTGCTCCTCGCCTCCTTCCTTTCCGCCTCCTCCTCCGCCTCCTCCTCCTGCTCCTCCTGTTCCTCCTGCTCCTCCTCCTCCTCCTCCTCCTCCTCCTCCTCCGCCTGCTCCTCCTCCGCCTGCTCCTCCGGCCCGAGCTGCGGAGCCCCGACGAACAGACGACAATCTCCGACGACGTGGCTTATGCCATCGGCGAGGAGGAGATGCTAACCTGCCCCCCTCCCCGAAGGCGAAGCCCTTTGTGCCCCCTTCCCCCCTCCCCCATCGCGGCCTTGGCTGTGTGTGGGGTTGAAGTACAAGGGCACAGAACCCCTGGTCCGTTGGTAGAGAGATGGAGGGATAGATGGATATCTTTCCCTCCCACGCGATCAAGGTACGATCGCTCCAACTCAGTACCTGAGCCCAAACGGCCAGGTGCGGGAGAGGTAAGGATAAGGAGTGTATATGAGGGTATTACACGGGTTCCTTCCACACCCCCCGTCCCGAATCCCGCCCGGTAAGGCAGGACTCGGGAACAGAGGATAGGAATCCGCAACCTCTGAACTCCTTTAGTCCTTAAGTCAGAAAGGCAGCTGAGGCTTAAAAACAGCGAAGCCACAGCTGCAAAGTGAGGTAAGAAGAGATACCCTAAGTCCCCCCTTCTTCCCCAGGCGCACTTTGGCGCCCCCTCGGTGCGCCCCCCAAAACGCTTCGGCACTCGAGGGAGGGGAAGAATGAGACAAGGGTAGGCGGAGAAAGTAGATCTGAGCATTAAGGCAACATGCAATCTGCCTCGCAAGATTTGCGAGGCAGGTGTTGCCACCAGCAAGCAGATTATTCTCGACGCAATATTGTTCAAATTGGTAAAATATGCATGCGAAGATCGCGTTGGCGAACACAATCTTGAAATGAAACACAGGTCTGCCTAAAAAATCAATGTATACTAAGATCGCGCTGACGAACACGATTCTGAAAAGAAACGCAAATCTGTGTAAAGCAAGTGTCTGGCCAGACAAAATGTCGTGTTGATGAACACGAAAAGAGATGTATAAAAATCTGTTTGGCGACTCCCGTTGGCGTTGCTCCTTAGGAGGCTGCCTCGGTGATCGCAAAAGGCATATATATGTGTGTGCGGCCACTTGTTGGAATGATTGGAGTGGCCTAAAAGAATATATTAGCCACCGCTCAAGGCGAACTTTGATGAAAGGAAGTTCTGCTCTTGAGCAGTGGGCCTTGCGGCCGACCCCTACGCGTCGCCGTCCTTGTAGAACCTGCGGTCCCACACCCTCTGGCCGTTGTACGTCACGTAGCTTGTCGTAAACGTTTCCCAAGTTGTCCTCGGGATCCAGTTGCGGAACCAATCGTTGTACGTGATATCCTGGATGTACACATACTCGTCGTTGTTGATCGCAATGTAGATCCAACATTTGATGTAGTAACTCCAGTATCGAAGACCCCAATCGCTCTCCTCGAGATTGTGCCGCCAGTAAGCAGCGTAATCAGATGTACGTGCTCTCTTGGCGCGCGGCATCGCGGGCACGTAGTCCTCCGCGCCTGAGGCGCTGGATGCAGCGGCGTCGCCAGGAGCAGGGCGCGGCGGCGGGCGCGGCGGCGGCCGCGGCTCCATGGCGTCATCGGACTGTTGGGAGTGTGTATCTGGATCGGTTCTCATCCCTGTACTACCCCCCCTCTGGTCGGTGTGTGACGGATCGAGGGAGCCTATCAGTTCGTTGGCAATCGCGGCAAGCTTGCGCTGGGTGAACTGTTCACGGGTTCCGTCCCTTCGAGGGAGAGAAACCGTAACCAGTCCGCGCGCCTGCCGCGTCTGCCTGTCAATGCGTCCCTCGTTCAGCCACCACTTTCTCCGACCAGCCTGTCCTGTCCTAATGCTGACGTCAAGGATGTCCCGCGCGTCGCGCATGTCCTCGACGGTCCAGGGCTTCTTGCCGACATTCACGCGGGCACCTGTCATCTGATGATGGAACTTGAGGTCGTTGAGAAAGCGTTGTATGAGATTGGCGAATGGGTAGTACAGAGGTCGGTCGCCCTCGGATTCGCCCATTAATCTGCATTCGTGTGCAGGCGGGCCACCGGCTTCGACCCACTTCTGATACCTCTTCTTGGACGCATTGGCCAATCTCCGCAACTGATCTTTGCCGTGGGACTCCCGTGGGCCACTCTCTTGGCCAAATTTCATGGCGCCTCTCCCCCTCCCTCTCTCTCTCTCTCTCTCGTTCTCTCTGTATATCTTTCTCTCTCTTCTATTCCGTGCTCCGTATATCCATCTCTCTCTCTCTCCTCTCTCTCTCTCTCTCTCTCTCGGCCGCTGACGATTATTTTTTATCCGCGGTCCTCGCCAGACAGGTTCCCCCCCCCTGTCCTCTCGGCCGATGGCGATTATTTACACATGCGGCCCCCTCTAGCGCACAGGCAGGTTCTCACCAGACGTGGCCCTTCAACCTGGCCATGGCGACGGCCGAGCCGAGCTCGAGAAACATATCTGGACAGCTGGCGCGCCTGTAGCGCCACGCCCAGAAGTGCGCCCAGTTCTCGAGCTGCGCCTGCGACTCCTTGCTGTACGTGTTCATCGTGGTTGGGACGACGTTCTTCACGTGCGACCACAGCCCGTCCTGGAGCTGCGTCCCGCCGTAGCAGCACAGGACGTCGCCCCCGCTCAGGGTCAGCGTCTTGACAGTCGCCCAGATGCGCTTGGCGTGCTTGACCTTCGTGTGGTTCTCGAGGCGGCGGTAGCACCGCGCTCCGTCTGTGTGCCAGATCAGCACGTCGGCCCCCGTGTGAGCTGAGATCAGCGGCGCGGTCTCATCCGTGCTCTCGGGGCGCGTCGGGCCGCCACGGACCGCATAGAAGGGCGGCAGCATGTGCACGACGGCGTGTTCGTGGTCTCCGCGCTTGCACATGCCGAACACGCGGATGTGCATGTTGCGCCCGTTCTTGAGCTGGACGACCCGCAGGGTCGTGGCGTCGGTCTCGCACTGGCCGCTCAGCACGATCGACTTCTGCTCTTCCCTCGAAGCAGCCGAGACGATCTCCAGCAAACTCTGCCTGACCGCCTCGCACTGCTTGTGGCCCATCTTGGCAATCAGCGCCATGTCGGCTGTACTCATGCGGGACGTCAGGGCGCCGCACGACAGGAAGGCGACGCCCGCCAGCTTCGGGAGAGGCACTTCCACATCCGCCCACGTGCCGCTCGTGACCTTCACCTGCACCGAGGACGACGAGCAGGCCTTGCGCTGACACCTCTGGACTGGATGCCGCTTCTCGCCCCTGTGAATCACCGAACCCAATGGCCATCCGCACCTGGGGCAAACGTTCTCGGAGGGGTCGCCGAGGTACCCCGCCTGGACCATCAAGTCGTAAGCATCCTTGGTCTTCAGAGCCCTGAGGTCCTCGTACGTGTAGATCTTGGCTAAGGAAGACCTGCCGCGCCGCACGCGGGACACCCGCTGGCGCTTGGGCGTGTAGAACACGCCCGTGGCTTCCAAGCGCTTGCGTTTGGCCTGGGCCGCCTTGCGCGCCTTCCGCGCCTTGGCCAAAATGTCGCGGCGGCGCGAGGCGGCCTGCACCGACCGCTTGTTGCGACGCTTCTGGGGGAAGCGCTGCCCTCGCGTGCGGCTTCGACCCCTGGCCTCGGAGGCGGCGGGGCGACGGTGGACGGTCATCCCTGGCTCCAGGCGCGATAGCACGGGCGAGGCAGTGCGCGAGAGGCGCGGGCACCCGCGGCTCTGGCTGCCGATTCGGCCAAGAAACGGCTGCGGCGATGACAGCAACCATACCGGATGGACGGCGATGGCGGCGGCGGCGGCGACGACGACGACGTCTGCGGGGGCGGCTGGATTTCTTAGAACGGCAAAAGAAAATGGCATGATAACGCGCGGTACTTGTGGATAACCCTATCAAGACACAACATGTTGGCGGCGCGCGCCCCCAGCTCATCTGGGGCGCAGCGGCGCGCGCCACCTCGGCAGCGCGCGCGGCATCAGCGCCCGAGCTGAGGGTGCCATCGCTGCCCGCGAAACCCGCGCGCCGCACCTGCCCGCCCGCGCTCTCGCGGCCGCCCGCTCACTCCTGACTCTGAGAACCGAGGAAAGCGTGCGCCTCGTCCTCCTCCGCAGCCGAGGGCATCGCAGGCACAGCGGGCGCCCCCTCCTCGGCCAGCATCTGCGAGAGCTGGACCTCGAGATCGTCGCGGGGCGGGGCCGCGGGCCCAGATGCAGTGGACGACGCCGCGGCATGTTGCTTGGCGGGGGACGGGCTGTCGACATTGAGCGTCATCCCCGAGAGCAGGCGCTTCCGAAACGTCAGGCGCTCAGGGGACACGCGCTCTCGCTTCACCTGTCGGGAGGGGCTCAAAGATGATGTCCGCCAAGGCCGAGGCAGCGTTTCAGCGTTCAGAACGCGTTGAAGTGCTCCCTCAGCCCTAGGACCCCACCCCGCAGGGCCGCATCTTTGAACCCCCAAACCTGGACGAACGACGGGGCTGGCAAAGAACCGAGGGCCGCGTCTGAGGACTTCTTGCGGTTCTTCTCCACGGCGGAGTCCACGAGGAGCCGCTCCTTCTCCAAGAGCTGCTGGATATTGGCGGGCGGGGTCATGTCGCCGTCCTTCTGCAGTAGGTACAGGCGCTTCCCCTCGGCCGTCAGGAAGGTCTCGCCCTTGAAGTTAATGCGCGGAACATCTTTCTCCTCAGTGCCTGCTGGGCGCCAGTAGAGGTATTCCTGGGTATTCACCAGAAACGCAGAACGCTTGAAGAAAGCCAGCATGCATGCGCGGGTCGCCTTCTCGGAGAAGGCAGGGCGCACGAGCTCGAAGAATTCCTGGAACTTCACGGAGGGCCAGCGGTCCAGCTTCTCGGCATTCGGATCGTAAGTCTGGTCCGCCAAGCACCGAGGCTCCCCCTTCTTCCATTTCGTTGCGCCCCACCTGGCCCAGCACATGCTCTCGTACTGGCCGACGTCGAGCAAGGCCTTCACCATCTTGGGCGGGAGGAGATTCAAGCAGCCATCGTCCACAAAGTCCCCCATGAGAATGTCGCCGGGCTCGCCTCGCAAGAAATCGATCTCAGGCGTGACGCGGATGCAACAACCCGCGGGGTCCAATCCGTGGACCCGCGCGTTCCTGCGGCACATTGCCATCAGGAATGCGCGCCCGAGCGGCGTCTTGCCGATGTTGGGCTCCCCAATGAGGACAAGCGAATCGTTGCTGTTGATCAGCTCCTGCATGGCTTCGGGAACGCGAAGGTTGAAGTGGTCCTCGCAGAGGATCACGTTGTTTTCGAACTCCTTCTTTGCAAGCGCGCCCTCCGCCGCGAGCCCGCTCAACGCCTTCGCCACCAGGGGGACGGGCCAGCCGTAGAGGGGGGCGCCTTTGCGTGGCGCCTTCGTCTGCCATACCAGCTGCTTGAGCTCGGCCGTGGAGCGAGGCGCGTTCTTCAGGATGTATTCGAAGCCAGCGTTTATATCCTCGTCCGAGAGCTCGTAGAACTCGTTCACCTTGGTGGCCGTCTTGACGTCTGGCGATAAGAAGAAAGCCCGACACTGTTTGCCTCCGAACCGCTCGAAGGCGTATTGCCAGACCTTGACCCCCACCTGGCGGCGCGATCGAAAAAACAAAATGGCGAGGGCGCCGCGCCCTCGCCACCCTTTTGTTTCCCCAATCGTGCACCTTGGGATGCTGGAAGCAGAGCTTCTTGACGCTCCCGAAAGCCATGCTGGCGAAGACGGCCGTCTTCGCCTTGTTGGGGATGACGCAGTGTTTGATTATGGTCTTCGTGCCGTCGGGGGCGTCAAGGATACAAATCTGCAGCGTCATGTGGTGTTGCGGCGCCGTCTTGAACCCGAACGGTGGCGGCAGATTGTGGTAGCTGTCGTCCTTCCAGGCCGCCTTGTATTGCTCGTCGAGCTCGGGGGGGACTGGGTCTCTATGCCCCGTGATGAAATCAATGTAGTGCACCAGTGGGTTCTCGTTGGCCCCGATGTCGTCCGTGAGTTCGAGAAAAGGCTCGATTTCTCCACGGGGCAGCACGCCCGTTACCATTGGTGCAGGAAGAGGGCGGCAATACCAGCCCTCGGTCGCCGATTTCAGGTCCTCGTAAGCGGCCATGCCGCGGTCTTGAATGACGCTGAGGGTTTGCCAGAAGGCGCACGCTCGGCGTTGCGATTGGGCCCAAACAGCTACGAGCAGCGAGGGGGGTCAGGAAACGCTGGGTTCCTCCAAGATTCCTGGATTCCTGGATTACTCCTGTGTTCCTGGGTTTCTCCTGGGTTCCTGGGTTCCTGGGTTCCTCCTGGGTTCCTAGGTTCCTGGGTTCCTCGGTTCCTCCTGGGTTCCTGGATTCCTCCTGGGTTCCTGGGTTCCTCCTGGGTTCCTGGGTTCCTCCTGCGTTTCTCTTGGTTTCTTGGGTTCCTCCAAGGTTCCTGGATTCCTGGGTTCCTCCTGTGTTCCTGGATTTCTCCTGGGTTCCTGGGTTCCTCCTGGGTTCCTGGGTTCCTTGGTTCCTCCTGGGTTCCTGGGTTCCTCCTGGGTTCCTGGGTTCCTCCTGGGTTCCTGGGTTCCTCCTGGGTTTCTTTTGGTTTCCTGGGTTCCTCCAAGGTTCCTGGGTTCCTGGGTTCCTCCTGTGTTCCTGGATTTCTCCTGGGTTCCTGGGTTCCTCCTGGGTTCCTGGGTTCCTCGGTTCCTCCTGGGTTCCTAGGTTCCTCTTGGGATCCTGGGTTTCTCTTCCGCCTCCTCCCAAGCCCCTTGCTGGCTACCGAAAGGTACCCGAAGACGGCCGAAGAGCACCCGAAGTGCTCCCGCACGGCTCCCGAAAAACACCCGGAGGGCACCCGCAAGGCACCCGAAAGGCACCCGAAGGGCACCCGCAAGGCACCCGAAAGGCACCCATCCTCAGAATTCGGGGGTCGACGCCGATAGTAAAAATGCACAACGTCATAATGATTATGATACTTCTTCAAATCTGATTTTTGCACTTAACGAGAAATGCTTCGCTTTCCGTTCATATGCAACGGCAACAACAAAAAAAAACCCCAAAAAAAAAATTCTCGAGCGTTTCCCCCTTCTGAATGGTATATTTGGGGAGTTGCGCGGCACGTGTATACTCGCAATGCACTCCGCTAATTGCTAAGGCACCCGCAAGGCACCCGCAAGGCACCCGAAAGGCACCCATCCTCAGCAACCAGCTGGGCCTTGAGTCTGCTGCCGTCGCGGGAAGGGGATGGCGGGCACGAAAGAGAGGGTAACCAGAAAACTTGGTTGAGGGAGAGAGAGGTGAGGAGAGGGGAGGGGCATCGAAGGGACATTGAATTTGCGATGCCCCTGGGTTCCCTCCTGGGTCTCCTCCAGGGGTCTCCTGGGGCCTCTCTGGGGCCTCTCTGGGGCCTCCTGGGGCCTCCTGGAGCCGCCCGCTCCCCAGGGGGAGGGGTGGCGGAAGCGAAAAACCAAAAAAAACACAAGGAAAAACCAAAAAAACCAAAGAAACCAAACACCAACAGCCGAAAAACCAAAAAAACACAAGGAAAAACCAAAAAAACCAAAAAAAACAAAGATTTCGATACTTCGTCCACCCCCACCGCCCTGACAGCGAAAGTGTTGTAAACTTTGGTTTTTTTGTTTTTTTTGGTTTTTCCTTGTGTTTTTTTGGTTTTTCGGCTGTTGGTGTTTGGTTTCTTTGGTTTTTTTGGTTTTTCCTTGTGTTTTTTTTGGTTTTTCGCTTCCCACATCCCTGTGTGGCGCTTTCCAATCGAATCCCTTTGTTGCGGTTTCCAAAGGATTCCTGCTGTGAGGCGTTCCACTGGAATCCCTTTGGAATGTTTTCCAAAGGGGTCCTGTTGCGAGGATGGGAGGGAAGAGTGCGATTGCAACGCTATGCGTCTGCAATGCAATGCAATGCAAACAAAGAGGAGGACATGCATGCAGACAAACAGGAGGAGCAGGAGCAAGAGCAACCCACCATGAAATTTGGCCAAGAGAGTGGCCCACGGGAGTCCCATGCCTGATCTTTCTCTGTGCCTATGTGCGATCGCGCACCCGTCATAATGACGTGTGCGCCATCCTTCATGTATCTCGCGATCTGGTCCTCGGACAACGTCGTTTTGATCCAGTTCGTCAACTTCTGCAGGTACGCGAGATCGCTCTGTGTGGCGGTGCTCTTACCTGTGGCGCCTACGGCCACAGTGTATTGCCAACATATATCACAGAGTGTGCCGTCACCTGTGACAATCCCGAGGGACAGATCTCGACCGCAATTGTGACAGAGCGGTATGGGATGCAAGATCGTCTCGGGGGCCCCAGCCGAAGTCAGGTGATCGCGGGATCCCCAGCGGGTGTCCTGACCGCGAGCGAGGCTCTGACCGATCTGATTGATCGCCTCACGATTGATCTCGGTGTTCGGTCTGGAAGCGATCGATCTGCTTAAACCCTCGATCTCGATCCGAGACAACCTTTCCCCTGGCAGTCCTTTGTACTCTATCTTGACGTTGTCGGTATCCTCAGTACCGCCATGGCATGCGTTCTCCTCACGAAGACGGCGAGCCTGCTTCTGCAGGGTAGCCTCGTTGTCGCCCTCCTCGCGCTTGAGTCCCGTCTGCTCGGCTATGATACGTGCCATCGTTTCCTGATCGGGAGCTGCAGACGCAACACTGCCTGGATCCTGGGGAATATCCTGCTCAGCGCCTTGCTCTCGAGGCGCAGCAGGTGTTTCCACCAGCTCTTCCCAAACAGGAAAATCTGGATTACCGTATGTCACAGTACAATTTTTGAATAGGTCACGCAATGCCTGAAGTGCAGGATGGTTGGCATGGATGACTTCCTTGGCGAAATCTGGTAGTTCCACAATACTATCTTTCAAGATGTTCTGGTATACTTTGGAAATCCATTGAAAGATGCCTGTGGTCGACTCCTCGATAGTCTCTGGGTCGAGGTAGTGTACCAACTTTTTGAAGAAATGATCTGCACCACAATTGGGTAAGTCACGTGCCCACTTGTGGGTATGATTGTAGTTGAATTGGTATGACTCCGCATTCCATGCTTTCGATCCAAATCGAATTTCAAATTGTAAATGTGACTGAATTTTGTCCATTACGATTCTGTCTGCGCCACTGTGTAGCTCGATGATCTGCTTCATCTTGATCATAGGCGAATCCACCAATAACGCCGATGTCCCACAATACACGCGGCAATCATCAGACTGTCTAATCCATCTTGAATCCTCGTCGGGGTCGTAATCTGGATGGCCAAGGAAATTCGATGGCGGATCAATGATGTTATCGAGGATGCTTGCCTCGATCTGCTCTTCTGCTTGGATGTCTGCCGAGAGATCTGCTCTCATGTTGTCGTTCGCAGCTTTCTCATCGGCAGTAAGAGCGATATTTGATACGCCCACGATTACGGTGATCAGTGGATCATGCGATGATGCTGTACCCTGTCGAGGAATTTCGCCCGTCTGAGCGTTGTCCTCGGCGGGTGTGGCCACCAGCTCGTCTGGATCAGGTGTCCGTGGAGCGGGCCTTCTTGGTGGTGTACGCGGAATACGTGGTCTATGGATGCTAGGCATTCCAAGGTATGGTAAGCTGCCGCTAACCTTGTGCTGCAGTATCTCCTCGCTGCATGATGTCGGGCCTTTCAGGACAGTCTCCATCCATGTTGGATCGATGGCGTGTTCTTCGATACGAATCGGCAATGCAAATGCGACGCCCTTGAGGGGCATGCTTTTGTCATTATACCAGACATTTACCCATCGTAAACCGTAGTTGAGAATAGGTACTTGTACCGCAAAGAACTTGTCGAAGATGCCGAAATGGATGATTGGACCATATATGTGTCCCTTGGACAAGGCAATCTTGGTATTGTGATTGCCTTTGGGCCAGTGGCTGTCGTAGTGGAAGCATTTGGTGGAACCCCAATTCTTAATGACAATGAAGTCGCCCATTCGAACATCGTTAAATGCAGGACGACGATCCCAATCTTTTTGCAGGATCTTTGATGTGATTGGTCGAAGAGCTTCGCGACAATGTGACAATGCAATTAACCATTCTTTATCATCTGCTTTGTGGTTGGTCTCCTGAATCATAGCGCGTACTATTTGCTCATCCAAGGCGTCCTCTGCGGATGTACGGCCAGCAGGGGTTCCCCCCGGCCTGGCCGAGGGTGCTGATGCTGGCGTCGTCCTTGGAGGTTCCATGTTGTGGTCGGGGTCGATAGGTGCCAATCCAGGTGGGTCATCAATAAGTTCTCCAGGGAGGCAGGCGCAAATCTCGTATTTGCTCAATGGCTCTCTGGCTGCCAATGGCGGGTAGTCCCATGGGTCGCCATCTGGCCACAACTGCTGGCCATGCATGTGGTGTGGTTTGAGGCGGCGAATTGCAATAATTGCCGCAGCGGGTACCACGTCCTCAGTCATGATAGCGCCCTGAGCACCCAACCAAAATCTGCAACCTGCTTTTGTGGCGATTTCCATGTTAATCACCAGCTCGACTTCGTTCTTGTAGCTGTTGAACTTGTACGATTCCACTGAAGTATGTGGGTTCTTTTGAACATTGTTCAAATATGTGCTAGAACTGAAGAATGCCTCAGATCGCTGCGATGGTTTGTAATTTCTGTCTCTCTGAGAATGTGGTTCAACATGTCCAGGAATGATCCCTGTCTTCAATATGTTCTTCCAGGCACGGGATGCTGTTCCATGATGGAGATACTTGACATCTGTCCACTGTAGACTTTCCCATCCCATATTCCGTGGCTTGGAAGATGGGTTGACACAACTGTGACCACCAACGCACCGAATGGCAATGACGCTGTTCCAGTCAAAAGCGCTGGGGTCACCTCCTTCAGGGATCGGCTTGGCATATATCTCGATTCTGTTTTTTTTTCTGCGGGTCAATATGCTTCTGGAACGCCCGAATCATGAATATCGGATAGTAGTCGTTCCAATCGGTGTATCCATCATTTTCACCGTCTTTCTTGAAGTGTGCCACTGCCGCTTCCATGGATGGTCCATTGTGTCTTTCTTTGAGATCTCGGAATTTCCATTCGACCATTTCTTT